ACATGCCTAAAACGTCTAAACTTCCGTGGGCTTTGCCCACTGGATTCCACCTAGGGCTCCAAGGCGGGCCCTTAGATGCTCATCTGACGGTAATTTATTGCCTAAAACCTCTGAGCTTCCGGGGGCGGACAAGGTATCAAAATATGTTCATCTGACCGCAGACGCGTAGCAAGGGGGCGGTGGGGGCGGTCCCGAAAAACTTCGGCCCGAAAAACAACATAAAAAGAAAGAGAGGAGAGAAAAGGAAGAGCACGTAGAGAGAAGAAGGAGCAGACAAAGAATATTTTTGATATTTAGACAAGGATTAAGAGTCGAGAACGGTACAACGAATCGTCTTCTTTCTCTAATAATTCAAAAAACGTCAAAGCTTCTGCGCTACGCTAGAAAGGGGAGGGGATGAGCTGAATTCAGAAAAGGACTAAGAGTCGAGAATGGTACAACGAATCGTCTACTTTATCTAATAATTTAATGAAAGTCAAAGCTTCCACGCATCGCGCAGGAGGGGGAAGGAACTGAATTCAGACGAAGATTAGAGTCGAGAACGGTACATCGAATCGTCTTCTTTATCTATGTTAATGAAAGTCAAAGTTTCCGCGCATCGCACAGGAGGGGAGAGGGGGGACTGAATACAGACAAGGATTAAGAGTCGAGAACGGTACAGCGAATCGTTTTCTTTCTCTAATGATTTAATGAAACGTCAAAGCTACCTCGCTTCGCGCAAGAGGGGGGGGGGGACTGAATTGAGACGAGGATTAAGAGACAAGATCGGTACAGCGAACCGTCTTCTTCCACTAATAATTTAATGAAACGTCGAAGCTTTCGCGCTTTGCACGGGAGGGGGAAACTGAATTCAGACTAGGATTAAGGTCGAGAACGGTACAGCGAATCGTTTTCTTTCTCTAATAATTAAATTAAACTTCAAAGCTTCCGCGCTTCGGGCAGGAGGGGGGGGGGATGAATTCAGACAAGGATTAAGTGTCGAGAATTGTTATACGAATCATAGCTTCCGCGCATCGCGCGGGAAGGGGAAACTGAATTCAGACGAGGATTAAGAGTCGAGAACAGTACAGCTTGTTCTTGTTGTTTAAGTTGCCATAGAAACAAACAAGCTAGTTAAATTGAGAGAAAAACAATATTGTTGAAAGGCACGTTACGATAGAAACCTGCTAAATAATTTGGTATGATAGAAGAAAAAAGCCCGTAAAGCACAATCAGACAAATTGATGTCGAGCCTTACCTGCCCTGATTAAAACATACCAATAACACGTACACGCCACACTTTAAAGGCATCGTTTAACAATGTTAAATCTGAGATGCAGGCCCCTATGTGTTATCAGTGAACAGCGGGGATCGGGAGGCTCGAGTTCCCTCCCTACTCTCCCCCTAGATTTTCTTTAAAAAAGTATATTATAGAGAAAAGGAAAGAAAGAGAGCAAGAAAGAAAGAATAGTTAACTGCCAGTGTCACAAAATAATGAGTTATCAAAAATGCTCATCTGACCGTGATTACATGCCTAAAACCTCTAAACTTCCGTGGGCTTTGCCCACTGGATTCCACCTAGGGCTCTAAGGCGGGCCCTTAGATGCTCATCTGACGGTAATTTATTGCCTAAAACCTCTGAGCTTCCGGGGGCGGACAAGGTATCAAAATATGTTCATCTGACCGCAGACGCGTAGCAAGGGGGCGGTGGGGGCGGTCCCGAAAAACTTCGGCCCGAAAAACAACATAAAAAGAAAGAGAGGAGAGAAAAGGAAGAGCACGTAGAGAGAAGAAGGAGCAGACAAAGAATATTTTTGATATTTAGACAAGGATTAAGAGTCGAGAACGGTACAACGAATCGTCTTCTTTCTCTAATAATTCAAAAAACGTCAAAGCTTCTGCGCTACGCTAGAAAGGGGAGGGGATGAGCTGAATTCAGAAAAGGACTAAGAGTCGAGAATGGTACAACGAATCGTCTACTTTATCTAATAATTTAATGAAAGTCAAAGCTTCCGCGCATCGCGCAGGAGGGGGAAGGAACTGAATTCAGACGAAGATTAGAGTCGAGAACGGTACATCGAATCGTCTTCTTTATCTATGTTAATGAAAGTCAAAGTTTCCGCGCATCGCGCAGGAGGGGAGAGGGGGGACTGAATACAGACAAGGATTAAGAGTCGAGAACGGTACAGCGAATCGTTTTCTTTCTCTAATGATTTAATGAAACGTCAAAGCTACCTCGCTTCGCGCAAGAGGGGGGGGGGGACTGAATTGAGACGAGGATTAAGAGACAAGATCGGTACAGCGAACCGTCTTCTTCCACTAATAATTTAATGAAACGTCGAAGCTTTCGCGCTTTGCACGGGAGGGGGAAACTGAATTCAGACTAGGATTAAGGGTCGAGAACGGTACAGCGAATCGTTTTCTTTTTCTAATGATTTAATGAAACCTATAAAGCTTCCGCGCTTCGCACGGGAGGGGGGAGGGAACCGAATTCAGATGAGGATTAAAGTCGAGAACGGTACAGCGAATCGTTTTCTTTCTCTAATAATTAAATTAAACGTCAAAGCTTCCGCGCTTCGGGCAGGAGGGGGGGGGGATGAATTCAGACAAGGATTAAGTGTCGAGAATTGTTATACGAATCATAGCTTCCGCGCATCGCGCGGGAAGGGGAAACTGAATTCAGACGAGGATTAAGAGTCGAGAACAGTACAGCTTGTTCTTGTTGTTTAAGTTGCCATAGAAACAAACAAGCTAGTTAAATTGAGAGAAAAACAATATTGCTGAAAGGCACGTTACGATAGAAACCTGCTAAATAATTTGGTATGATAGAAGAAAAAAGCCCGTAAAGCACAATCAGACAAATTGATGTCGAGCCTTACCTGCCCTGATTAAAACATACCAATAACACGTACACGCCACACTTTAAAGGCATCGTTTAACAATGTTAAATCTGAGATGCAGGCCCCTATTTTTTATCAGTGAACGGCGGGGATCGGGAGGCTCGAGTTCCCTCCCTACTCTCCCCCTAGATTTTCTTTTAAAAAGTATATTATAGAGAAAAGGAAAGAAAGAGAGCAAGAAAGAAAGAATAGTTAACTGCCAGTGTCACAAAATAATGAGTTATCAAAAATGCTCATCTGACCGTGATTACATGCCTAAAACCTCTAAACTTCCGTGGGCTTTGCCCACTGGATTCCACCTAGGGCTCTAAGGCGGGCCCTTAGATGCTCATCTGACGGTAATTTATTGCCTAAAACCTCTGAGCTTCCGGGGGCGGACAAGGTATCAAAATATGTTCATCTGACCGCAGACGCGTAGCAAGGGGGCGGTGGGGGCGGTCCCGAAAAACTTCGGCCCGAAAAACAACATAAAAAGAAAGAGAGGAGAGAAAAGGAAGAGGACGTAGAGAGAAGAAGGAGCAGACAAAGAAGATTTTTGAAATTCAGACAAGGATTAAGAGTCGAGAACGGTACAACGAATCGTCTTCTTTCTCTAATAATTTAATGAAACGTCATAGCTTCCGCGCATCGCGTGGGAAGGGGAAACTGAATTCAGACGAGGATTAAGAGTCGAGAACAGTACAGCTTGTTCTTGTTGTTTAAGTTGCCATAGAAACAAACAAGCTAGTTAAATTGAGAGAAAAACAATATTGTTGAAAGGCACGTTACGATAGAAACCTGCTGAATGATTTGGTATGATAGAAGAAAAAAAGCCCGTAAAGCACAATCAGACAAATCGATGTCGAGCCTTACCTGCCCTGATTAAAACATACCAATAACACGTACACGTCACGCTTTAAAGGCATCGTTTAACAATTTTAAATATGAGATGCATGCCTCTACGTGTTATCATTGACTGTGTTATGGTGTAATATTGAAGCCCTTAAAAAAGCGCTTCAAAATGTTCATGAAGTGCCTCAAAAAACTAAAAATATTTGAGTGACCGGTTTTTTTTACCATACTCGTTAGGAAAACGAAAAATGAAATTTCGATTTCCAATCATAAATATCTTGATAATCAGACGCGCGATCGGCTTGTAAAAGTCATATGTTTCCTGACTGACCTAAATGTTTATAATTATGATTGCAGCATGAGCTAAATCCAGGATTTTGTTTCAAAATCTGAGGCAATGTTACCGAGTCACTTTAATGCACTCGCTTTGGTGAAATAATGGATGGCATCGTTTTCTCCCGAAGGCTGGTACTTTCAAAAGTTCGTTTATTCGAATTATGAGAATAAAATAGGGTTAATCACTAATCTGAACCAGGTTTGCAATCGTGAAAATGAAAATTCTCTCTTCTCTTCGGAAGTAAGAATCCTATTCCATCTTCAGAATTATCATTATGAACCTCGGAAATGACGGACATTCGGAGAGACGAACTTTCGGAACTATGAACTGTCGGAACTAAGTAATCTTTCTGTTTAAAGAACCTTCGTATAAAAAAACCTTCGACATTACGAATCTTCGAAATGTTGAACCTTCACAATTATAAAACCTTTAAGAAAAAATAACCGTTATGAAACGACAAGGTTGCATTCAGCATACCCAAATTAATGAATAATTTTTAATATAATTTGGGTCCCCGTATTGTCCCGACCGAAATTGTCTCCAAAGTAAACAAACTAATGATTATAAGGAGACTTTAATGGAAATACAATATCTCCGTCTACACCTCACCGATTTTTTTTGTTTTTTTGTTAGCCATTTAAAGAGCCATGAGCCTTGTGCAGATTCGGATACTTCTTTACATGAGGCCATGATTATTATCATCATTGTCATTATCCTCATCATCATCCTCCTCCTCCACCTCCACCTCCTCCTCCTCCTCATTATCACCACCATCATAATCATTATCATCACCGTCATTATCATCTTCATCTCTGCGTTTGTCGCACAGCTTTAGTATGTCATCTCCGACCCAGTGCTTCTTTGTTGGTCGGTGTTTGCCAAGGATGTCGTTGGCTATTTCTGTCACGGTAGTGTTACATCTGTTGATCAGAGTGTCTATTCCGGTGTCCTGATTACCAAGGACGAGGAGTGGAGCAAACTTTCCTCCTATCATTGATTTTGTTGCCCTGACTTTTCATCCTTTGGAGGCGTAGTCTGAAGGTCATCATCACAAGATCATGGTCACTTCCGACGTCGCCTCCCGAGAAGCTCCTGTTCTTTACGATGTTCGCACTTGACTGGGAGCGTCCTTTGACCATGATGTCGTCGATCTGATTGTGGTATTGTCCTCCTGGGCTGTGCCATATCCAGCGTCTAGATGGTTTGTGTGGGCCAAATGCGTTCACCACCTTCAGGTAATTATACTTGGCGAATTCTAAGAGCCTCAAGCCTCTTGTGTTGGTTTCAGGGTTGCAATATTGGCCACATGTCCCCTTCCAGTTCTTGCTTGCATCGTCTCCTATCTCTGCATTCTAGGGCTGTAAAAAGGTGATGCCTTCTGACGAACGGTAATGAGTCGGCTAGAGACTAGTCGGCATCCCATAATGGCATTCACAGTGTCTTTGTTAATGGGGAATCTAACTCTGTGCTCATGTCTGACTTCACTGTCACTGAAGTAGAGTCTGTGCCCTTCTGGAGTAGACGTTTCTCCGAAGTTTTTCCAACGTACTTCACAGAGTCCAAGGATATTCCATCGGTATCTCTTCATTTCGTGCGTTAGTTCTTCAACTTGTCCTGCTGCTCTCAGTGACCTCACATTCCAGGTGCCAATGGTGATATATTTTTTCTGGCACGTAATGATCTTGGCCCATCAGTAACATATTTTCGCCTCCGTCCTGATGGCCAGCAACGGAAGGTGCGGTCCTTGGTCCGGGCAACGACCGAGCCGGTATGGATTGAGTTGTGGTTTTTAATTATTATTATATTCGTTTATTTATTCATAATAACCAAAGGGTTGGATTGATAATGATTGTCATCTTCATGTAGTGTGTCTTGGGCAGTGTCGCATGGCGGAGCCGATCCCTCTCCATGCCCGACCACAGCCGATGTCCTCCACTTAGTTGGTTCTTGATCTTGAACACGTAGCCGTTGACTTCATCCGCCTTGGCCGGTAACCTGTTTCGTGAAGGTCATTCGCCCAGTGATGCCGTGTTAACATCACTCCCTCACGTGGTTTAGCACACCTGCGAAGGCGAGGTCCCGGGGTGTGGCGCTTGGAGCCAGCACGTGAGAGATTTAGGAGATGGATGAGGACCAGTGATACCTGTCCACCCTACCAGGTAGAGTGCAGCAGCCAGACATTAACGGTGTAACCCCGATCTAGAGCCTCAATACACCCCAGAGCCCCATTACACGCTTGCCTAAAGGATCGTTCGGGAGTACCAATTATATCCCCAAAACAAAGATTCCAACCATACAATAGTGTCCAATCCATTCGTGGAAAGAAAACCTTAAAAGAAGACTGCAAAGCTGCGTTAACCAGCACTTCATTTAAAGAGGTTGGTGGACATATCTTTCAAAGTGGCATACTTCCCTTGAAGAGACTGCAAATTCGTTTGTTCTTGGAATAGACTCTGCCTATGTACTTACTCCTGCATACAGTTTGAGTCCAAAAAAAGTTTACATCTAGAAAATTGTTATTAATTTATTCTAAAAAATGTTTTAACAGGAGTAAATTATATATTTGCCAAAGAGCGTACGAATACCAAAGGTAAATATACTTGTTTACAGAAGTTTGGGTGCCACACAATGTTCCATACTGTAATTTTTGTTTTTGATATCAAGATGAGACTATATACGGTATCGGCAAAGACAGCCGAATTTGAGTAGATCAAGCGTTTTACATGTGTCGTTGTAAAGTGGACTTTAAGGCTAGCCTCAAAGTCAGAGGCCGCCCGCGGGAGGGGGGGGGGGGACAGTTCCCCTCACTTGTTAAAGTACCCCCAAAGTGTCTTTTTACAGAGAAAAAAGTGCCCAGTTTACTTTGATAAGTGCCCCTTTTTATTTTGACACGTTCCCCCTTTCCTTCGACAAGTTCCCATCTCCCTTTGCAATAAGTGTCCATTTTACATTCTCATAAGTGCCCTTTTTAATCTCTAGTAAGTGCTTCTTTTCAGGTACGAGAAGTGCCCCTTTTCATTTTTACAAAGTGCCCCCTACACCTCTGATAAATGCCCTATTCATATCTGAGATGTGCCCCTTTTACCTTGACAAGTGCCCCTTTCCCTTTGCAAGAAGTGCCCCTCTCCCTTTTAATAATACCCCCTTTTTTGATAATTGGTCTTTTCATCTCTGAATGATGAGTGTCTCTTTTCAACTGTAATAACTGTCCATTTTATTTTGACACGTACCCTTTTTCCATTCTAATAAATGCTCTTTTAAACCTAATTATAAGTGCCCCTTATCTTATCTGGTCAGTGCCCCCTTTTAGGCGGTATAAATGTCCCTTTTCACCTCTAATAATTCAATTTTAACAACGATACGTGCCCCTTTTTTCTAATGATAAGGGACCTATTCCTTTTCATAAATGCCCCTATTCACCTTTCATAAATGCCCCTATCAAAATATGATTGGTGCTCCTTTTCCCACTTCCTAATCTCATGAGCGCCCTTTTTTTTTATCAATGGTGAGTGCCTCTTTTTGTAGGTGTAAGAAGTGCCCCATTTTCACCTCTGATAATTACCCTTTGTACTTTGGCAAGCTCTCCTTTTTTTTCTTCTAATAAGAGTCTTATCCCTTGTAATAAGTGTCCCCCTTTCCTCCCATCATGGACTGTTGACACCTCTTCTCGATGCTGGGTTGTATATGACGCGAAGAAGTTCTTTAATTTCTATTATATATCCTCACATGCTCTCGATCTACATGTATATAGATCTTCCTTTTTTAAAATCCTATGACTCTATCATATTCTTCTTTCTCGACAAATTTAAATTACTTTAAATTAAATATCTTCTTTTATTTCCACACTCTTTATCTCCTCCTTTCGAAATTTCTCAATGAATTATATATCTCTTTCATTAAAACTTATCTCAATATCTCTTCTAGACACGTTCTTATACGCTATGTATCTCTCTTCTTCTTACACAAACACAATCGACAGTAAAGTCATTGAAACTTAATTATTACACAGGGCCTTCAGAAATGTAACGCCCCTACCAGGTTACAGAGGAGCTAAAATGATAAAATGAAGAGAAGAAAACAGTTCCTTGTGAAATTGGTGTCAGAATGTAGAATGACTTTTATTACTAGAATAACCATAATCAAAAGTAATCAATATACAAACAATGATCATGAACACATTGTAATGATTTAGTTTTATATAACGGTAAAGCTATTTCATATCAATCTGCATGAGCCAGATCTTCACCAAAAAAAAAAAAGAAACCTAATCTAATTTCCAATTATATTAAACAGCTTTAAAGAAATGTCTATAAAAACAATGAAATAAATGTTTAGTTAATTCCAACTAACATTTCCTGGCTTCAATAATAACACGTAACTCAAATGATAACTAAGTATATCAAAAGTAATATAAATAGTTTAATTGCAGATACAACATTTTCAATTAATAATTAATAATATATTCTGCTATGAATATAATCCTTACGTTCAATAACCAAGCAGTTCCAAATTGCTCGTGCAAGATGAAACAACATGCTATAACAGATTTATGTTCTCTCAAAAATCCACATGGACAATTAAATACATTTAATGATTGTTCGAATCATCTGAAAATAGACTTAAGATTTAATGAGCGAAATGTATATCACTGTGCAATGACATGACAGGAAGCATAATATTGAAAGCAATAATTCCTTGCTCTAGGTTCCCTTTAAACTCTCAAACGAACTCCCTAGCTGGAGTAAAATCCGCTAAAGAAAAATATGATTTCCTCAATGTAAGAAAGTGCTCTATGTGCTCCTGTTTCACTGCATCAGCTAATTAAAAGAGAAACTTCTTTCTACCAATGTTTTGAGTTAAAACATATTTCTGAAACTTCGCATACCGCTGGGGTGGCTGTTTTACTAATCAAATCACTCAAGTCCCTTTCTCTAAATAACTAATATTACTAAGCCAGTTGCTCTAGCGTAGCATCACGGATACAAAATACAATATAATAACAGGTAATCAAGCTCATGACATCTGTGTCGCAATCATTAATTATGCCGATTAGAATTCACCATTGCACTATTCTATAACGTAGCAAAATACATCTCCTAAAATGGGTCCAAAAGAGACCACTTACTTGACTACAAGACTGTTTATTAGTACAGATTAAGAGGCGCCACACAGTCCCTCTCTTAGAACAAAGGTCCTGTTCACATTTATAAACGACTTGGGTGCCGTGTTTCCACTTCGTTACAGTAAGTCTATGCCACTGTTTACAGGCTTGTTCATATTCTAGTTGTGAAATGGGTATCCACACACTTGCACTACTATTTCATGAGGCGTTCATTCATATCATCAACAATTATCCTATTCTTTTACCGATTCTATACCTTCTAAAGTGTAATAGAAAAACAGTAAAAATAGTCAACAGTTATGTACTTGCAAAACTCAATTCATTATCAATTCATTATACTGTTTAATAACGATATACCGGCGACATATGAATATTAACTCTAAAGTCAATCAGTATAAACAAACTCATCCAGCTCTTTTGATACACAATCACATACAACGCTTAAGTATATATTCTCATTGGGAGATTTGCTACACTTCACGGGCGATCATCTAACAACATAGAGTCAATAAGAATTCTGTACTTTGAGAACAAATCCCAACCTCCATTTATATAACGCGTACAAGTAGAAACTATAATGGCAGATTTTGCAGTCTTCAACTTAAATCAGAATTATGACCACGATCCTGTCTTTTGATCAAAAATTGAATCATAATAAAACTGTAGAGTAAAGTCTCAGCCGGGGTAAAACTTTGAATTGAAACTTTTTCTTTCCAAAAAGTGTCAACAGTTGCTCGTATGGTTTCTATATATCTAAAAAAAAAGAAAAAAAGGTCCTATTCAGATCTATTCAACGTCATGTAGTTGATTCAATTATATGTGTAAGGGTGGCAGTTAAATTGGCAATTGTATACACACATATTTGTCTTCGAATGCTTTCTAATTATCATAAAAACTCTAGATCTACTGTTGATCACTTTGGTATTAACCTGCACGTTTTCTTACGTGCTTTGAGTTATTTAGTTTTTGAGGTTAATAAACCATTTACGCGATGTCACCTTCGAGTTTAAGCAGGCAAGATGTTGTAACCGACAAATGATTAAAGGTGAACATGAGACCATGATAACCATATTATCATGTATCTAGAGATTTTCCCCCTCTAAAACACAAAAATGAAAGTAAACACACAGCAACAACCAAAACAACAACAACAACAAAGACAAAATCGATGTTTACCAGCAAGGGTTTGAGACTGGATCCGATTGTTTGGGTATCGCTGTTGTGGGTACGCTCATAGTAGTTGGAATCGGAGTTTATTCTGTTGAAACCAATGATTACAAGAAGTAACTATCAACAACAATTAAGGAACAGAAACATGAATAACGAAGGGGATATAAAATTGAACAGTGTAATGTTCGTTTGAATGAAATACTCATGATGGACAACCACTTAACTATAATAGACAGAAGGACCAAAACCTAACATCGGCTCCCAACATTGTTCTCAAAAGCCCATTCACGGGATAAGGTCACCGAACAAAATCGTCCAAATTGTTACATATTTTAAACATTAGGATTGCCGCTCATGGAAATTTAAAAAAAAAAAAAATAGCTAGATGATACGTATACGGTACGGTACCCTATAAACATTAAAACTGGCATGGTCAATGTAACCAGAGCTGACAGGTTATTCTATCAAAGCAAAGAACTAAATATTATTGGTTAAAAATGAAGGAGTAGACGCATCCGATCAAAGCGAATGACATACCAATAGGTGCGTGAACCCCTTCAGGAAGCAGTTTTAGTGCAGTGGGATTTTTACTCTTTAGGTTTGAATGCTTTACAAGAACCACAACATAGAATCTTTCGTTTCTTGTCTCCTGTCAATGTAAAGTCATCTGATATAAATGCATGTATCTTGATATTAATTAATTTTGAGCAGCGCTTTGCTCACATTTTAAACACTTCTGCCTACCTTGGCATCTGGGGTCAAAATGACCTACGGCACAAAACTGCCATCTTATCCTAGGATTGGTGGTATAACACCAAGCAGTGTAACTATTATCTGGATTTCTGCAATAGTTTTCGTCTAGTCCCGCGTTAGGAAAGTCAGCTGGAGTCCTACTGTGTTCATTGGGATCCTGAGAGGTCCATGCTTGACAAGTATGACCGTAGATTGTCTGAGATAAGTTTCCTCTGTAGTTCACTCCTCTAGGATCTTCCAGGCATGTAGATGTGGCTGGAGAAAAGACACAGAGTAATATTTTAAAAGAGCTTGCTAAAAGTAATATCGGTTCAGACTAATAATTTGCTACATCTTTCAACTCGAAAAAGCAATTATCTACCGTTATGCAACGATTGATGCACATACCAAATTATAATTTCCCGTGTCAGTCACTTACAAATATGACGACGCCCGAAGTGTAGGCCGTATTTGACATCATCATAGTTACGTGTCAGGATCACATCCCATGCAGTGCCCACTTGAAAAAAAACATTCAATGTAACTACCATCTAACAAACATACAGCCAAGGTGACTACCCGCTAGACAAACACCTAAGATGACTCCCCTATAGACAAACACCTAAGATGACCATCCGCTGGACAACACCCCAGAAATTGCTGATAAGAATATGGAACTTAAATATTAATAAATAAGGGTAAATAAAATTGTACAGTTGTATGAAATATTGATGAGCAATAACACCTATATTATGATTTTATACACGCACATCCGCCTAAGCAAACACCAATGTGATTCACACATTTAAGTGAAATTCTAATCTTTAGGTTCAATTGCTTTCCAAGAATCCCAACATAGCAGCTTTTGTTTCTTTTCCCCTGTCAATGCAAAATCATTTAATATAAATGCATGTATCTTGATATTAATTAACTTTGAGCAGCGCTTTGCTCACATTTTAAACACTTCTGCCTACCTTGGCATCTGGGGTCAAAATGACCTACGGCACAAAACTGCCTTCTTATCCTAGGATTGGTGGTATAACACCAAGCAGTGTAACTATTATCTGGATTTCTGCAATAGTTTTCGTCTAGTCCCGCGTTAGGAAAGTCAGCTGGAGTCCTACTGTGTTCATTGGGATCCTGAGAGGTCCATGCTTGACAAGTATGACCGTAGATTGTCTGAGATAAGTTTCCTCTGTAGTTCACTCCTCTAGGATCTTCCAGGCATGTAGATGTGGCTGGAGAAAAGACACAGAGTAATATTTTAAAAGAGCTTGCTAAAAGTAATATCGGTTCAGGCTAATAATTTGCTACATCTTTCAACTCGAAAAAGCAATTATCTACCGTTATGCAACGATTGATGCACATACCAAATTATAATTTCCCGTGTCAGTCACTTACAAATATGACGACGCCCGAAGTGTAGGCCGTATTTGACATCATCATAGTTACGTGTCAGGATCACATCCCATGCAGTGCCCACTTGAAAAAAAACATTCAATGTAACTACCATCTAACAAACATACAGCCAAGGTGACTACCCGCTAGACAAACACCTAAGATGACTCCCCTATAGACAAACACCTAAGATGACCATCCGCTGGACAACACCCCAGAAATTGCTGATAAGAATATGGAACTTAAATATTAATAAATAAGGGTAAATAAAATTGTACAGTTGTATGAAATATTGATGAGCAATAACACCTATATTATGATTTTATACACGCACATCCGCCTAAGCAAACACCAATGTGATTCACACATTTAAGTGAAATTCTAATCTTTAGGTTCAATTGCTTTCCAAGAATCCCAACATAGCAGCTTTTGTTTCTTTTCCCCTGTCAATGCAAAATCATTTAATATAAATGCATGTATCTTGATATTAATTAACTTTGAGCAGCGCTTTGCTCACATTTTAAACACTTCTGCCTACCTTGGCATCTGGGGTCAAAATGACCTACGGCACAAAACTGCCTTCTTATCCTAGGATTGGTGGTATAACACCAAGCAGTGTAACTATTATCTGGATTTCTGCAATAGTTTTCGTCTAGTCCCGCGTTAGGAAAGTCAGCTGGAGTCCTACTGTGTTCATTGGGATCCTGAGAGGTCCATGCTTGACAAGTATGACCGTAGATTGTCTGAGATAAGTTTCCTCTGTAGTTCACTCCTCTAGGATCTTCCAGGCATGTAGATGTGGCTGGAGAAAAGACACAGAGTAATATTTTAAAAGAGCTTGCTAAAAGTAATATCGGTTCAGGCTAATAATTTGCTACATCTTTCAACTCGAAAAAGCAATTATCTACCGTTATGCAACGATTGATGCACATACCAAATTATAATTTCCCGTGTCAGTCACTTACAAATATGACGACGCCCGAAGTGTAGGCCGTATTTGACATCATCATAGTTACGTGTCAGGATCACATCCCATGCAGTGCCCACTTGAAAAAAAACATTCAATGTAACTACCATCTAACAAACATACAGCCAAGGTGACTACCCGCTAGACAAACACCTAAGATGACTCCCCTATAGACAAACACCTAAGATGACCATCCGCTGGACAACACCCCAGAAATTGCTGATAAGAATATGGAACTTAAATATTAATAAATAAGGGTAAATAAAATTGTACAGTTGTATGAAATATTGATGAGCAATAACACCTATATTATGATTTTATACACGCACATCCGCCTAAGCAAACACCAATGTGATTCACACATTTAAGTGAAATTCTAATCTTTAGGTTCAATTGCTTTCCAAGAATCCCAACATAGCAGCTTTCGTTTCTTTTCCCCTGTCAATGCAAAATCATTTAATATAAATGCATGTATCTTGATATTAATTAACTTTGAGCAGCGCTAATTTGCTCACATTGTAAACACTACAACGCTACCTTGGCATCTGGGGTCAAGATAACCTACAGCACAATAGTTCCAATTGCCACGATTGGTGGTGAAACACCACGCAGTATTACTTCCATCGGGGTTTCTGCAATAGTTGTCGTCTAGTCCCGCGTTAGGATAGTTAGCTGGAGTAAAATCGTATGGAGTGAGATACTGCGAGGTCCATGCTTGACAAGTATGACCGTTGATTGTCTGAGATAAGTTTCCTCTGTAGTTCAATCCTCTAGGATCTTCCTGACATGCAGGGGTGGCTGGAGAAAAAACACAAAGTAATATTTCAAAAGAACTTGCTAATGTAATATGTGTTTAATTCTGAATAATAATTTACTCCACCTTTCCCCCCGAAAAAAAACAATTATCTACCCCTACGATTGACGCACAGACCAAATTAGGATTTCTTGTGTCAGTCACTTACAAATATGACGACGCCTGAAGTGGAGGCCATATTTGACATCATCATACTCACGTGTCAGGATCACTTCTCATGCAGTGCCCACTTGAAAAAACATTCAATATAACTACCTTCTAATAGACAAACAGCCAAGGTGACTACCCTCTAGCAAACACCTAAGATGACTACCCTCTAGACAAACACCTAAGATGACTACCCGTTGGACAAACACCCAGGATGACTCCCCTCTAGATATACACCCAAGACTTCTACCCTCTGGGCCACACCCCAGAAAAAGATGTTAACAATATGGAACTTAAATATTATTAAATTAGGGGAGATAAAATCGAATAGTGTATTTTACATTTGGATGAAATATTGATGAACAATAGCATCGAAATGCGTATGAATTTAAACACACGCACATCCGCCTACGTACACACCAATGTGATTTACACATTCATGTACAATGCAAGATGATGATGTTGATAGTGATTATACAATGATCCAGCAGCTGCTTGATCGGCGATAATCGACCAGTTCGTAGTTAGCACATGGTTCAGGTGCCCCCAAATATCCGCAGATCTCTTAAACATAGATAAATCCCACTCGTGGTTTTAGCCATTCCCGTAAATAAACGAAAAATGCCTAACCTATGTAATAGTTCTAGAGTAAATCCGTAAAATCCCGGCAAAATTCCAGTTACCGGGAAAATAGTTCAATCTTGCTGAAATACCCTTTGGTTCACGTGTTAAAATCTGGTTTGAGCGAGCGCAGATACCATACTGCATTGTGTGTGTGCGATTTGGTCGCTAGCTTAATTTTTATATTTTTTAATGAGACGTACGATGTCGATCGTACTAAATCCGGCCTAGATTCTACTTATAGTTTCCAAACAAGGCAAAAATGGCGGAAGAAACTCTTTCTAGATTTCAACTTCTTGATGATGATCAATTGCAAGACATGATTAATTTTGCTGACAGCAAGAACACCAAAAAGGTACGTGAAATTCTCCTATATTGCTCCGGTTGTCTCATTTTCGCTCGCTGGACCATTGCCAGCACAAACGTAGCTAGTTCGACGTCACTACCAAACTAGAATCTTCCACTTTGTTGCAGGGCCATTGGGTATGATGTGTGAGCCGAGTGTGCGGAAATGGTGTTTTGGGGAGGGGAAGTGAGAGTGTTCGTGTGTGTGGTAATTGTATGTGTGTCAAAAATTAATGACTAATAAATATGGCTAATCATAAATCTACAAAACTGTCTACATCACTGTCCACAGATAAATGTGACTTAAATATATATAGCAGACGGCAATCGGCGGATCAGACGACACTTGATAGTGATTTTGAAAGTGATATTGCTTTGCTAAATATAAACTAAAGAACCTTTTCCATATCTTTAAACTATCATTGATATCTGATAATTAAACCATGAACCTAATAGTTAAACAGTTAGTACAATAAACCTACCAAACTACATAATACAATGAAATACTTGACTGAAAGTAGGGGAGTTCGATGTGGTGCACAATTGCACCCCTCTGTAAATGATCGATTAGTCCATGGCGTGTCATGAATGTTCATATTTGGCTTAACTCTGCAAAATGTTTGCCTGTACTAAATGGAAAAATTACGGTGGGGGGGGGGGGGTTGGCTGAAATGGACATAATGAACCAATAAGAAGTGATCTATGATAATTCATGCTTGTTATCCTTCGTGTGCTTGACCTAAACCTTACATTCGCGTGGCAAATTGCGTCCAAAGTTCGACTTGTTGCACATGTGTTATATAGGCAATGGCGAGCTGGCGACCTATTTTGATCAAATGACGGTGGGTGAACTTTCAAAAGTCAATGGGACATGAGGATTCCAACGAAAGAGCTAGTGTCAACGTACGTCGGGGTGGATGTGCTTTTCGTTTAAACAAAAAATGAATTTTTAAAGATTTTGGGGGTAAAAGTCCATAGGCTAACATGCTAGGCTGCTGGACTCTGACGATAGGGGGCGTTGTCAAATGAGACTATTCAGAGCCATATGATAACAATATTGAGATTATTTAGGTCTAGATCTAGGCTACCTGCAAGTTATCAACAGAGACCTCGATAGCGTAAACAAACTTCCAAATTCGGAGCTCGACAACGTAGATCTAGGCCAATGTTTACTATTAGATTCGGACTTCAGCGCCATTTCCTCAATTCTAACAATGTCAACATCATAAATTAAACATGAAGATTTTTCCAATTCGACGAGAATTTTTAAGTGTTTTTCAGCAATGCTTAGACAAGAAATTTGTGAGGAATTAGGAGGAAATGCTACATACTTGGATCAGGATCTAGTCTAACTCTCAAAGATACACTCACAAAAAAAAACCGTGCAGATAAACTAGAGAAAAGCCAAAATAATGTTTAGCAACGCCCTTAATAGGAAAGGACACAAAACACACAAGACAATGAGAGAGAGAGAGAGAGGGAGAGAGAGAGGAGGGAGTGGTAGTGGCACATTATAACAATGATCGAAGTCATGACGTAATTTCATTGTTTTTCTTACTTACTGGTGGTGGAGGTTTCTTGCGATGATGTTGTGTCTGACATCGTGGTCGCAGGGCCCATCCCGGGCTTGGTAGTCGATTCCTTAGTCGATGATTCTGTTGACTCTGAAACGTTAAAACAAACATAACTGAGCTAATTGATCATGATAACGTTAATGGTTGAGGGTTTAATATAACAAATGAACCCACACGTACAAATCAATGTGATTAGGAATGCACAAAGGCACAAACGTGGACAATTTAGCTCAAGGAAAATATATAAACTTTTACAGCTCATTTCTGTTGTAAGGTAAACAAAAATAATAATAAGACGGACACTTCCCCCCTTATACAAATTTTTTTTAGCAACGTCCGTAATAGGAAAGGACACAAAACAGTCAGATAAGGACTAAAACAGAGATTAAGAAAGAGAGAAGGAGAGGGAGAGAAAGAGAGAGTGATAGAAGGGGGAAGGGAAGTGGCTAGACACGTAATGAAAAGGATTAAATGCAAGATGTCACTTCATCATTTCTCTTACTTACTGGAGGTGGTGGTTTCTTGTGATGTGGATGTGTCTGACATCGTTGTCTTAGGGCTCGTCATGGGTTTGGTCGTCCCGTCCGAAGTCGATGATTCACTTGACTCTGAAACGATTTTAACAAACATAACAGAGTTATCAAAATGATCATGATATCGTTGTTGGTTCAGGGTTATAAAAAATGAAAAGATAAATTTTAACAGTTTATTTCTTTTAAAAGGTATAATTTGTGTCCGCATATTTTTAGATTTAGTGGTGTTTTGTCAAAGCCCAAGGGACTTTTTTTGTCACATAATGTATCTAACTATGTTCCTGTGGCGTGTTTGTTGTCCTTAAACTCGCGTTCTTAAAAAAAGACATATAATACCCCCACCCCCTCTCTAAAAAGAAGTTTCATCAATTGCCCTGTAAGCAAAGGGTAAAGAAAAAGAGAGTCAGGTAGAGACTAATAGAGAGAAGGAGGAAGAAAGGGAGAGAGGGGTGGAGGGGGTTCGGCAGGGGAAATGTGTGACAGGGAGAGGGAGAGACAAAGAGAGAGAGAGAGAGAGAGAGAGAGAGGGTGGGGGAAGTGGTAGTGGCACATTATAACAAAGAGCGAAGTCATGACGTCATTTCATTGTTTTTCTTACTTACTGGTGGTGGAGGTTTCTTGCGATAATGTTGTGTCTGACATCGTTGTCGTAGGGCCCATCCCGGGCTTGGTAGTCGATTCCGTAGTCGATGATTCTGTTGACTCTGAAACGTTAAAACAAACATAACTGGGCTAATTGATCATGATAAAGTTAATGGTTGAGGGTTTAATATAACAAATGAACCCACACGTACAAATCAATGTGATTTGGAATGCACAAAGGCACAAACGTGGACAATTTAGCTCCAGGAAAATATATAAACTTTTACAGCTCATTTCTGTTGTAAGGTAAACAAAAATAATAATAAGACGAGCACTTCCCCCCTTATACAAAACTGTTTTAGCAACGTCCGTAATAGGAAAGGACACAAAACAGTCAGATAAGGACTAAAACAGAGATTAAGAAAGAGAGAGGGAGAGGGAGAGAAATAGAGAGTGATAGAAGGGGGAAGGGAAGTGGCTAGACACTAATGAAAAGGATTAAATGCAAGATGTCACTTCATCATTTCTCTTACTTACTGGAGGTGGTGGTTTCTTGTGATGTGGATGTGTCTGACATCGTTGTCTTAGGGCTCGTCATGGGTTTGGTCGTCCCGTCCGAAGTCGATGATTCACTTGACTCTGAAACGATTTTAACAAACATAACAGAGTTATCAAAATGATCATGATATAGTTGATGGTTCAGGGTTATAAAAAATGAAAACATAAATTTTAACAGTTTATTTCTTTTAAAGGCACACTGCCATACTTGTAGCTACTTGCTCCCTCTATATAGAAAACTTCCCCAATCGGTGCCTGTTGGTCCCCCATGATCCTCTTTTTCTTATGTTAAATGAGAGCTGAGTTAATGAGATAGCCACTTGTCACAGTGACCTCGATGGCTCGCTGTGTGGTCTAATCCCTTCTTGCCCAGTAGTGGTGACGGTCTTTAAAAGGTATAATTTGTGTCCGCATATTTTTAGATTTAGTAGTGTTTTGTCAAAGCCCAAGGGACTTTTTTGTCACATAATGTATCTAACTATGTTCTTGTGGCGTGTTTGTCGTCCTTAAACTCGCGTTCTTAAAAAAAAGACATATAATACCCCCACCCCTTCCCTAAAAAGAAGTTTCATCAAATTCCTGTGGCGTGTTTGTTGTCCTTAAACTCGCGTTCTTGAAAAAAAGACATATAATACCCCCACCCCCTCCCTAAAAAGAAGTTTCATCAATAGCCCTGTAAGGAAGGGTTAAAGAAAACGAGAGTCAGGTAGAGCCTAATAGAGAGAGGGAGGGAGAAATGGAGAGAGGGGTGAAGGGGGTTCGGCAGGTGAAATGTGTGAGAGACGGAGGATGAGACAATGAGAGAGAGAGAGAGAGAGAGAGAGAGAGAGGGAGGGAGAGAGAGGGGGTGGTAGTGGCACATTATAACAAAGATCGAAGTCATGACGTCATTTCATTGTTTTTCTTACTTACTGGTGGTGGAGGTTTCTTGCGATGATGTTGTGTCTGACATCGTGGTCGTAGGGCCCATCCCGGGCTTGGAAGTTGATTCCGTAGTCGATGATTCTGTTGACTCTGAAACGTTAAAACAAACATAACAAAGCTAATTGATCATGATAACGTTAATGGTTGAGGGTTTAATATAACAAATGAACCCACACGTACAAATCAATGTGATTAGGAATGCACAAAGGCACAAACGTGGACAATTTAGCTCCAGGAAAATATATAAACTTTTACAGCTCATTTCTGTTGTAAGGTAAACAAAAATAATAATAAGACGAGCACTTCCCCCCCCCCTTATACAAAACTGTTTTAGCAACGTCCGTAATAGGAAAGGACACAAAACAGTCAGATAAGGACTAAAACAGAGATTAAGAAAGAGAGAGGGAGAGGGAGAGAAAGAGAGAGTGATAGAAGGGGGAAGGGAAGTGGCTAGACACGTAATGAAAAGGATTAAATGCAAGATGTCACTTCATCATTTCTCTTACTTACTGGAGGTGGTGGTTTCTTGTGATGTGGATGTGTCTGACATCGTTGTCTTAGGGCTCGTCATGGGTTTGGTCGTCCCGTCCGAAGTCGATGATTCACTTGACTCTGAAACGATTTTAACAAACATAACAGAGTTATCAAAATGATCATGATATCGTTGTTGGTTCAGGGTTATAAAAAATGAAAAGATAAATTTTAACAGTTTATTTCTTTTAAAAGGTATAATTTGTGTCCGCATATTTTTAGATTTAGTGGTGTTTTGTCAAAGCCCAAGGGACTTTTTTTGTCACATAATGTATCTAACTATGTTCCTGTGGCGTGTTTGTTGTCCTTAAACTCGCGTTCTTAAAAAAAAAAGACATATAATACCCCCACCCCCTCCCTAAAAGGAAGTTTCATCAATTGCCCTGTAAGCAAAGGGTAAAAAAAAAGAGAGTCAGATAGAGACTAATAGAGAGAAGGAGGGAGAAAGGGGGAGAGGGGTGGAGGGGGTTCGGCAGGGGAAATGTGTGAGAGGGGGAGGGAGAGACAAAACAGAGAGAGAGAGAGAGGGTGGGGGAAGTGGTAGTGGCACATTATAACAAAGATCGAAGTCATGACGTCATTTCATTGTTTTTCTTACTTACTGGTGGTGGAGGTTTCTTGCGATAATGTTGTGTCTGACATCGTTGTCGTAGGGCCCATCCCGGGCTTGGTAGTCGATTCCGTAGTCGATGATTCTGTTGACTCTGAAACGTTAAAACAAACATAACTGAGATAATTGATCATGATAAAGTTAATGGATGAGGGTTTAATATAACAAATGAACCCACACGTACAAATCAATGTGATTTGGAATGCACAAAGGCACAAACGTGGACAATTTAGCTCAAGGAAAATATATAAACTTTTACAGCTCATTTCTGTTGTAAGGTAAACAAAAATAATAATAAGACGAGCACTTCCCCCCTTATACAAAACTGTTTTAGCAACGTCCGTAATAGGAAAGGACACAAAACAGTCAGATAAGGACTAAAACAGAGATTAAGAAAGAGAGAGGGAGAGGGAGAGAAAGAGAGAGTGATAGAAGGGGGAAGGGAAGTGGCTAGACACGTAATGAAAAGGATTAAATGCAAGATGTCACTTCATCATTTCTCTTACTTACTGGAGGTGGTGGTTTCTTGTGATGTGGATGTGTCTGACATCGTTGTCTTAGGGCTCGTCATGGGTTTGGTCGTCCCGTCCGAAGTCGATGATTCACTTGACTCTGAAACGATTTTAACAAACATAACAGAGTTATCAAAATGATCATGATATAGTTGATGGTTCAGGGTTATAAAAAATGAAAACATAAATTTTAACAGTTTATTTCTTTTAAAGGCACACTGCCATACTTGTAGCTACTTGCTCCCTCTATATAGAAAACTTCCCCAATCGGTGCCTGTTGGTCCCCATGATCCTCTTTTTCTTATGTTAAATGAGAGCTGAGTTAATGAGATAGCCACTTGTCACAGTGACCTCGATGGCTCGCTGTGTGGTCTAATCCCTTCTTGCCCAGTAGTGGTGACGGTCTTTAAAAGGTATAATTTGTGTCCGCATATTTTTAGATTTAGTAGTGTTTTGTCAAAGCCCAAGGGACTTTTTTGTCACATATACCCCATTCACAGTGGTTTTGAAATTTGTAGCGGCGTTGTAGCGGAGCGGCGACACCGCCATAACACCGCTACAAATGCATTCACAGTAGAAAAGTTATCCCGCTGCAGCAGCGGGATAAATATCATGTACCCATTCACGCTGCAGCGGGTAATTTTTATTACCTCCGTAACAAACACGTGTATGCATGGCTCATGACCCGCGAGTGACCCCGATATGACCGGAAATACTTCAGCGCGGGGTTTTCGATTGCTTGAAATTGCGCGCTAGCTGTACTTTACACAAAAGGTAAACATGTCAAGTTGCTTTTTGTATCCTCGATCATATTACTTTTTTAAAAACTAGCATTTTTATTGCTTCCAGTCAGAATATTTTAATTTTTTGAAGTGTGAAATATTTTTATTTGGATAATTATAATATCTACATAATAATAAAATCAATTTGAATCCACTGGTTACTTTATTTCTATTTCACTTTATGTTCCCCATTGCTGGAGAAAAGAGGTCAGTGATAGGTAAGTAAACAAATCACACGTGTTTGTCGCGGTGTTATAGCGGAGAGCCTTCACACTGAGTAAACACCACGACAGCAGCGGGACTGTCCCGCTGCTGTAGCTAGGCGAACCTAGCGATAGTTGGTCGCGGCGTTATCGCGAGGCGGTGTTATCCCGCGATAGTTTATAACGGGTCCGAGCCTTCACACTGAAGACAACACCGCGACAGCAGCGGGACAGTCCCGCTGCTGTCGCGGTGTTTGAGGCCACTGTGAATGGGGTATTATACCCCATTCACAGTGGTTTTGAAATTTGTAGCGGCGTTGTAGCGGAGCGGCGACACCGCCATAACACCGCTACAAATGCATTCACAGTAGAAAAGTTATCCCGCTGCAGCAGCGGGATAAATATCATGTACCCATTCACGCTGCAGCGGGTGATTTTTATAACCTCCGTAACAAACACGTGTATGCATGGCTCATGACCCGCGAGTGACCCCGATATGACCGGAAATACTTCAGCGCGGGGTTTTCGATTGCTTGAAATTGCGCGCGCTAGCATGTCAAGTTGCTTTTTGTATCCTCGATCATATTACTTTTTAAAAAACTAGCATTTTTATTGCTTCCAGTCAGAATATTTTAATTTTTTGAAGTGTGAAATATTTTTATTTGGATAATTATAATATCTACATAATAATAAAATCAATTTGAATCCACTGGTTACTTTATTTCTATTTCACTTTATGTTCCCCATTGCTGGAGAAAAGAGGTCAGTGATAGGTAAGTAAACAAATCACACGTGTTTGTCGCGGTGTTATAGCGGAGAGCCTTCACACTGAGTAAACACCGCGACAGCAGCGGGACTGTCCCGCTGCTGTAGCTAGGCGAACCTAGCGATAGTTTGTCGCGGCGTTATCGCGAGGCGGTGTTATCCCGCGATAGTTTATAACGGGTCCGAGCCTTCACACTGAAGACAACACCGCGACAGCAGCGGGACAGTCCCGCTGCTGTCGCGGTGTTTGAGGCCACTGTGAATGGGGTATAAATGTATCTAACTATGTTCTTGTGGCGTGTTTGTCGTCCTTAAACTCGCGTTCTTAAAAAAAAAAGACATATAATACCCCCACCCCTTCCCTAAAAAGAAGTTTCATCAAATTCCTGTGGCGTGTTTGTTGTCCTTAAACTCGCGTTCTTGAAAAAAAGACATATAATACCCCCACCCCCTCCCTAAAAAGAAGTTTCATCAATAGCCCTGTAAGGAAGGGTTAAAGAAAACGAGAGTCAGGTAGGACAAATAGAGAGAGGGAGGGAGAAATGGAGAGAGGGGTGAAGGGGGTTCGGCAGGTGATATGTGTGAGAGACGGAGGGAGAGACAATGAGAGAGAGAGAGAGAGAGAGAGAGAGGGAGAGAGAGGGGGTGGTAGTGGCACATTATAACAATGATCGAAGTCATGACGTCATTTCATTGTTTTTCTTACTTACTGGTGGTGGAGGTTTCTTGCGATGATGTTGTGTCTGACATCGTGGTCGTAGGGCCCATCCCGGGCTTGGAAGTTGATTCCGTAGTCGATGATTCTGTTGACTCTGAAACGTTAAAACAAACATAACAAAGCTAATTGATCATGATAACGTTAATGGTTGAGGGTTTAATATAACAAATGAACCCACACGTACAAATCAATGTGATTAGGAATGCACAAAGGCACAAACGTGGACAATTTAGCTCAAGGAAAATACATAAACTTTTACAGGGAGGGGAAGTGGCTAGACACGTAATGAAAAGGATTAAATGCAAGAGGTTATTTCATTGTTTTCTCTTACTTACTGGAGATGGTTGCTTCTTCATATGCCGTTGTGTTTAAAATCGTTGTCGTAGGGCTCGTCATGGGCTTGGTTTTCGCGTCCGTAGTCGATGATTCTGTTGACTCTGAAACGATTTTAACAAACATAACTGAGTTAAATGACCATGATATAGATGATGGTTCAGGGTTATAGAAAATGAAAAACAGTTTATTTATTTTCTAAGGTATAATTTGTGTCAGCCAAGCCCAAGGGACTTTTTGTCACATAATGTATCTAAATATGTTCCTGTGGCGTGTTTGTTGTCCCTAAACTCGCGTTCTTAAAATAAAGGCGGATACTCCTCCCCACCCCCTCCCTAAAAAGAAGTTTCATCAATGGCCCTGTAAGCAAAGGATAAAGAAAAAGAGAGTCAGGTAGAGCCTGATAGAGAGAGGGAGGAAAAGAGGGGGAGAGGGGTGGAGGGAGTTCGGCAGGGGAAGGTGTGAGGGAGGGGGGTAAAGACAAAGAGAGAGAGAGAGAGAGAGAGAGAGAGAGAGAGAGGGGGGAGTGGAAGTGGCACATAAGTCCGGAATAGGAAAGGACAAAACAAAAGTCAGATCAAGACTGATACAGAGAGAGAGAGAGAGAGAGAGAGAGAGGGATAGTGGCTATACACAATTTCGTGGTAAAGATTTTGATAATGATCAAATGCATGTTTCTAGTAATATATGTCTAGGTGGACGAGATTTTGAAATAAATATATACCTGATGTAGCTCGTTTATTGTCAGTTTGTATGCAAACAAAAAAATACGGGCACTGCCGCCTTAAAAAAAGTGTTTTAGCGACGACCATGACAGACTAAGAAAAGTAGAGTCAGGTAAAAACAAAGAGAGAAGAGTTTGTATTGCTTAGACATACTCGATGTAGTGGTGTTTTGAGTAGTCGTTGCGTCTGGGCGTTCCGACATTATGGTCGTATGGCTCGTCGTGGGCTTGGTCGATGCTTCCTCCGTTGACACGGTGACCTCTGGAAAAAGAAAAAAAAATTAGATAAATGACGAAGCATAACATTATTTCCTCTGAAATTATTTTCCCATCGACTGTTTCCAGGCGCCCTTGGTCAGCATACAGGGACAGGATCAACGAGGGGTGGGGGGGGGGGGGGGTATCGGAAAATGCTTTTCCTGTGGGAATCCCAATTCTATCAAGAAATTCCGAAAGAGGACCATGAGGTATTTTTTTCGTAGTCATCATCACTTTTTTTTTCCTTATTATTATTCTTATTATTCTTCAGTTGCAGTAACAGCCACCGGCATGTATTGTCGTACTGGTGAAGTGCAGTGCAGAATTCATGTACAATGTCTGATAAAAGATACAACAAACTGCGTGCAAGTAACACAAATAAAAAAATTACCCCCTGCAGAAAGTCTCATCATGCTCTTTGTTTATTAATTAGCCACCCCTCCCCCCCCCCCCCCCATGATACGCCAATGATATTACACCTACGTTCATCGCAGTGTTTCCCTTGAAACCCACTTGAGCAGTGACAGTCGTAGCCTACCATAGTCTCCTCACACCAGCCGTTTTTACAGAGATCTTTGACACAATCTGCAAAAAAGTAATAAATGGGATAAAACTCAACACTTGCAAACAAAATCATTTCATTTGTACTGATTGCTGTGAAAAGGGTATATTTTCGGACATTTGACAAATTAATATGTAAAAGATAAGCAAGACTAATGTTTTCCCATGGGTGTCCGTGCCCCTTTTGGACAACTACCCCCTAGGATGGTTGTCCAGGGCGTAGTTGTCCTAGAGGGTGGTTGTCGTAAGGGGTAGTTGTCTGGGGGTACTTTTCAGGTGTTAAAAGCTAATGTGCTTAGATTAGTGTGCGCTTGTAAAAATGACGCCTGGCTGGAATGGAGAATGTGCATACATTGTGTGCGGGTAAGCCTGAATCCGATGACCGGGGTAATATTATATATATATATTTCTGTAAAGCGCTTTGAGAGGGCCTTCGGACCTGAAAAGCGCTATATAAAAACTAGCTATTATTATTTATTATTTTCGGGCTAAGTTGTCCTAAGGGGTAGTTTTCCGGGGGTCATTGTCCGAGGGGTAGTTGTCCTAGGGGGTAGTTGTCCAGGGGTCGTTGTCCGGGGATATTTGTCCCGGGGGTAGTCGTCCTAGAGGGTGGTTGCCCTAGGGGTGGATGTCCAGGGGGTAGTTGTCCTAGGGGGTAGTTAACTGGGATGGTTATCCAGGGGTAGATGTCCAGGGTAGGTGTCCGGAAACCCTTTAAAGATGACTTTGTGTTGGTATCATTTGTAAGATTATGAAGCGGATCCTAATTAAATGATTGGTTGAGAGCGTACACGGTCAATAGTTTTTTTAAAAGATGTCCGCATGCCCGCCTACGTTCCGGTCTATGATTTTGTTAAAGATGCCCATTGCCCCGTGTAACGGGCCGCATTAATACATTTTGCTGAGATCCTCATTGGTTTACGTGCAAACAGTTTCTTTGTGTGAGTGCGGATACAAAATACAGTGCAGTGTGTGTGTGTGCAGTTCCCGAATGATCTTAACATTCAGTCAACTTTCTAGCGAAGATCCACAGACGGTGTCTCAGATTTTATGTGATGAATTCTGTATATAAAATTTGGTATATAAAAGATACATCGACTGCTTTAATGTTCGAAGCTTAGCTGTTTCTATAATGGCTCTCGGGGACGTTATACACCCTGATATGACCCCTTTGACGCGCCTCGGGGTCATATCAGCATGTAACGTCCCCTTGAGCCTATAGAAACAGCGATGCCTCCCATAGCAGTCAATATATAGCTATACTAATATCCGGTCATTGGTAAAAATCATCTTGCTATATCGCAGCGTAAATCAGAAAGGAAAGACAGAAAGAGAATGTAACAGATAGAAGAAACAACAAAATAACATGAGGAAAGACAGAAAGAGAAGGTGATAGAATGATAAAAACAAAGATTATCATAAGAGAAGTTGATAATAGGAAGAAACAAAGAATAACATACGGAAAGAAGAAAGAGAAGGTGATAGAATGATAAAAACAAAGAATATCATTGGAGCAGGTAATAGAAGGAAGGCACAACTAATAACATAAGAAAATACAGAAAGAGAAAATGATAGATTGATAAAAACAAAGCATAACATACATGTAAGAGAGGGTAATAAAAGGAAGAAATAAAGAATAACATAAGGAAAGACAGAAAGAGAAAGTGGTAGATTGATGCAAAAAAAAAACATAACATAAGCGAAGGTGATGGAAGGAAGAAAAAAAGCATAGAAAAGACAGAAAGAAAAGGTGATAGAAGGAAAAAAAAAATAACATAAAGAAAGACAAAAATAGAAAATGATAAAGAGTAGTAATGGAAAGATAGAAGAAAAGATGAAAGGTCGGAAAAACAAAGGATAACATAAGAAAGGTTGGAAAAACAAAGGATAACATAAGAAAAACAGAGAAAGAAAAGGATAGAAGGAAAACAAAGAATAACATGACGAAGGATAGAAACAAATGAAGTGAAAGAAGATGAAATTGAATAAGCGCGGAGGGGGGGGGGGGGGGCATTAAATCATCGTGTAGAGAACGGGCTTCGATCACATACAAACGGGTTGTAAAGTAATGAACAGGACGGATTGACTGTAGCCAATTCGTATCGTTAGAGGAAGGAAACAGCGCCCCCGTCTTCACAAACGAAAAGGCCCTAATGATATCATTGAAGAACGTATTATATAAATTTATTAAATAAACAAAGAAATACATTTGAGATCAAAATTGAAAAAGGAATGAAACCTACACGGGATTCTGCATATTCTATGCCCACCCGGGATCCCTTCTTTACTCTTCCTCTGGTGGCACCCGCCGATGACAGAAGGGAAAGGAATGAGCTTGGGGATGCTCTGCACCATGCTGCCATCTTGGAGTCGCTTCATCTCACACTTTTTGAACATGGGCAAAGTGTAATTTAGGCCGTACCAGTCTGGACAAGTTGTCTTCGCCATCTTGGACCTATCCGATAACACAGGCACGGCTGTGAAGAAGATATTAGACAATTAATTGCTAGTTGTTTGTTCTCTCCCTCCTCCTACGCCTTTTCTCCATCTGTCTCCTACTTCTCCTACCTCTCCTCCTCCTTCATTTATCCTCTACCTCCCCCTCCTCTTCCTCCTCCTACACGCCCTGCTACTTCTCTCCCCTCCTCTTACTCCCTTTCCTCCTTATCCTCCTCTGCCCCTCCCCATTCTTCATCTCCAACTCATCCTCATATAATCCTCCTCTAGCCGAATCCTCCTCCTTTTCCTCCTTCCCTTCCTCCCTCTCCTCCATCTTGGGAATGCAGTTTATCTTTAAATATTTTGAAACATTTATTAGGGAGACTTTTTAATAATGTGATTTTTTTTGTTTGAGATGCCCCGGATGTCTAGTTTGAGGGCACAAACCCTTTTTAATAGTTGTGTAATAGTATCTGCATAATGTAACTATACAAATGGTTCAGTAATTTTTTTTTTTTTTTACACAGCCAGGACCATGGAGATATAGGCTCTTCCCAAGGCTTCATGAAATGTGATAAAGTGTCAAATTACAGTCTGTCCTTGCAGACTAACGTAGGTTTTACACTTCACGGCTATTTTGCTTCATTATGGTAATTTCGAAAAACCAATTATTTTTCAGCATCATTCGTGAAATCATATAAATATGCCAAAATAATACTTACCGAAGGACAGACAGGTCA